CTTCTTTGTTTTAAAGAAATCATTGCTCAGTGCTAGCAAGCTAAAATAGTTACGAAACCTGAAAGAAGAACAAAGTTCTAAATAATTGTAAAATAATTTATTAAAATTTAAAAATAAATAGAAAAAATGTTTTTACTGTATATGATTTTTGTAATTAGTTATTTTAATTAGTTTTAAAATAACCATAATAAGCTGTAATTATGTTTCTTCTCATAAATATAACTGTCACATAGCAGGCTTAAAATAAATTCTAAAATGAGTAATAAACACAAATCTGATTTGACATTTGATTGAATGAACTTTGTGTGGAATATGGCAGTAGCTTACTGACTGTTTCATGTGAATTAACAAAGTAACGTAACATTAAACTAAAGCAAAGTTCAGTACAGAACTTAAGAAATATATCCACTTAGAGGTATGTCTAAAGTAGCTGAATAGGCAGTGTAAGACTTTTCAATGTATAAGAATTTTCTACATGACAATTTAGTTTTTAGTAAGTTAAAATTAAGTTGAATGTCTAGGGGAGATGAAACGCAGAATCAGGCAACAGAGTTAGGAGCCTATCTCACTGTGCGGGGCGGGGGGGGGCGGGGTGAGATCATCAATATTCAAACCAGAGGGTGGAAATGGGGAGAAAACGAGTGCAGGAAACATCAAAGAAGTACAAGGAGATGAATGAACTCCCCTAACACTTACCACTGGTGGCTGATGGCTGGTGACATGCAAAGAGTGAAAAAAAAAAACTTGGGAGATTACGAGAGGCAGGTATTTTATATTTTGACTTCCTTACATGTTTTTTCCCTTGTGAATACAGTTATCTGCTGAGAATAAAAAAGGAAAAATAGAAGGGCTGGGACTGGGCTTGAGAAAAATGGTGATGACTTAAGGGCAATAACACACAGAAGTAGGAAAAATAAACTGATTGTAATTCAGGGGAAAAAATGTGGCACCAAGCGACTAATTTGAGTCTAGAAATCATACATATGTATCAGTATAAGTCAGCAAGTTCTTCATCAGCTTTCTTGTGCACACATACAGGAAGATGGAGAGTGGATGGTTGCATTGATCTCGAGTTGAGGTTTTGTCAGAGATGGGTCCTATAGGTAGTGGACTTTAACACAGTTAAGGGGCTGGAAAGACAGAATAGCAGAGTCCTAATCCTGTTGTCCAGGCTGGGTAAAAAATGACCAAATCCTTAGTAGATGTCCCCAAGAATTGGGAAAGTGTGTTTCAGAAAGTGCAAGCTTAAGACAGTTAAAAGATACTGCAGCATGGTCAGAAAGGTCTGACCGGTGATTTCATACCTTGCACCTTGATGTCATACCTTGCAGTGGAGTGTAGAGAGGCGAGTTACTGGGTTAAAAGAGTCAAGGAACCACGAGTCACTTTACAAGAATTGTCAGACTGCCCACAGGAAGCAGTGACAATAAGCCAGGGGTAACCGAGGGGAGAGGACGATGATGGACAGCAGTAGAGTCACATTGCAGGTGGCATGAGTCTCAGAGTCAAAGGGGTGTAACGAGAGAAGAGAGTGGAAGTGGTGAACACAGATCGGAAGGGCGCCGACATCACCTCTAGGCCCACAGGGAGGAAGGAAAACACTCTCGTCCACTCATTTTGCATGTGAGCCAGGTGCCACGTGTATATTACCATGTAGGAAAAAACTAACAGCTATGCACACATTCTTCCTTAACTGTGTAATATTAAAATGGTACATTTTTTCCTCCTCCTCTTTCTACCCCCAGCCATGAATTTGACTTAAGATACATAGTTTTCCTTTATATATTCACTAACCTTAGGGAATAGTGAAAGGAAGGAAGGAGAGAGAGAAAGGAAGGAAGGGAGGAGAGAGAGAAAGAGAAATAAAAGAAAAGGAAAGAGAGAAAGACAGTAAGGAAGGGAGGGAGGGAGGAAGGGGAAGGTAGGAAAAGGAAGGAAGGAAGGAAGGAAAAGATAGGAAAAGGAAGGAAAGGAAGGAAGGAGAGGGTAGGAAAAGAAAGGAGAAGTTAGGAAAAAGGAAAAGGGAAGCTGGGGGAGGTAGGAAAAGGAAGGAAGGAGGGAAGGAGGGAAAGAAAGTGAGGGAGGGAGGGAGGGAAGGAAGGTAGGTAGGTAACAAACGATATGCAGAAAGCCCTGCAACCAATACTTAGAGAATATAATTTGTTATAATTGCATGGGTACCCATACCCAAATTGACCATACTTAAATCAAAACTGCTTATTTCTGACAAGGACTGGTCTCTATACCACAATACGTAATATAAAAATAGTTCTCAATAATTAAAAGGAGAGAGACTGCTCATGAAAGAAGAGGTAAAAATGGCAAACAAGTGAGACTATGCTTTACATCATTAGCACTCAGTTAAATGCACGTAGCCATGGCGGTTTTCAAGCATAAAAAATATGCTGACGGCACCAAATGCCTGTTGAGAATCCAGAGAATCCGGGGTGCTCAGACATGGCTGGCAGGAATGTACAGTCTGTGGAATAATTTGGTAGTTTCTTTAAACACTAAGCATGATCATACAGTGCAGCCATTGCACTCTTGGGCTTTATCTCAGATAAGTGAAGATTTACGTTTACACAAAAACCTGCACACACATGTTCATAGCAGCTTCAGGTGTCATCGATAAAACCTAGTATTGGGCCAAATACGCTTAACCAGGTTAAACAAGCTGTGATATATCCACAGCATGACATATTACCTAGCAATAAAAGGGAGCAAACGAGACCATGCATGGTGGCTCACGCCTGTAATCCCAGCACTTTGGGAGGCTGAGATGGGGTGATCACCCGAGGTCAGGAATTCCAGACCAGCCTGGCCAACATAACATAACCCCATCTCTACTAAAAATACAAAAAAATTAGCCGGACATGGTGGCAGACACCTGTAATCCCAGCTATTTGGGAGGCTGAGGCAGGAGAATCACTTGAACCCAGGAAGTGGAGGTTGCAGTGAGCCAAGATCACACCATTTCTCTCCACCCTGAGTGACGAGCGAAACTCCACCTCAAAAAAAAAAAAAAAAAAAAAAAGGAAAAACAAGGAGCAAACCATTGGTATAAACAAAAACTGAGCTAAATCTTCCAGGAATTAAGCTAAGTGAATAAAGTAGAATCCCAAGTTGTTAAAGTGGTTGCCAGGGGTTAGGAACAGTGAAGCGGGTATAGCAAGGGGGCCTCAGTGTGATTTTAAGGGCACAGCACCAGAGGATTTGGAGGGAATGGAGCTGCCATGCATTCACTATGGTGATGAATTCAGGAGCTGAGACGTGTGACGTGTTTGTACAGAGCTACATACACACATGTGCATACAAAATACAAATCAAACAGGGAAAGTTTGAACAGGACTGGTAGATTGTACCAATCTCAATGTCCTGGCTGTTACAGTTTTGAAAGATGTCATAATTGGGGGACGCTGGGTAAAGAATACATGTGATCTCTTATATTATTCTGTACTACCTACTTTATGTGTATCTACAATCATCTCAAAAATTTCAGGAATTTATAAATATGAATCATCCCTTACTTGCCCTTATACACAATATAAATTCTATGTAGAATCGAAGTAAATGAAACACTACTACAAACAATAATATAAATACATTTCACCAACATAATTTTGAACCAAATATTATATGTAGTATAATTTCATTTATAAAAGGCTTTAAAAAATATAAAACTGATGGTTTGGCGGGTGGAAGGAGAGGGCGGTGACTGGAGAAGGTACAAGACGGCGCTGGGGAGCTGGTCATTCTGTAAGAGTTGATCTGTGTGGTGGTTCACTTTGTACAAATTCATAGAGATGGAGACATTCATGATCTGTGCACTTTTTGGCTTGTTGCTCTTCAATAAATGTATGTATAAGGAAGAAAGAAATATCTCTCTTCAAACAAGGCAACAAAGAAACAAAAAAGAACAGTCTTGCCAACAAAGACACATCTTCAAAAAGAAATACATATTTAGTGACTGCACATCATTCACAGAAATACTTTCCTCTTTTCGATTTGTGTGTACCGTCGCATGGGTTACTTCCCACGTAATGACGGTTGTTAATCTTCCATTGGAGGATCCGATACTCTGCTGCCTAAGCTGAGAATGTTGGGTTGATAGGCGGATGATCCGATTGATGGGCAAATCACGTGTTCATGTTCCTCAAACTACTCTGCTGAAAGCCGAGCTTCTTATTTGATTAGGGACATTTGTTTTGGTTGAATTGATTTTTTCTTATACTTTTTCTATTTCAACATGCTTTTCTGTCAGCATGTTGAGTTCAGTCAATGGATTTAGTGTTTCTTTTCACTGGCTGACAGCAGCCCCTATGTGACTGTTTTGTTAATACACAATGAATGCTTCACTGAAACTCACATTTGGTGTGACCCAGACATTAATATGCAGGCGGAGTGTTCAGTAAACACTGCCAAATCTATTTCAGCTATGCATGCTATTCTTTTCAAAACTCTCGTAATGTATAATTAACTGTAATATATTTTAAAAGGAGAGATAAAGTTGCATATTAGTTCTAGACTAGAAAAATCAAAGCATTTTGTGAATGAACCCGGACAGTTTCTTGTGGTAGAGATATTTCTCTTTGGTGGCATGGTATTGCACAGCTCTGCAACCGTAGAGCACATCTCTCATCACTTCAGATGACCAGTGGTCCCGTATTTTTTTCCAGGACTGTCCCAGTTTAAACACTGTCATTTCTACACCTAGGGAAGTCCCTCTGTTCCAGGAAAATGGGATGGCTGGTTGCCCTAAGTTGATTTTTTAAAAGAAAATATAGAGATTGGCAGTCATAGAATAATTTCTGTAAAGCATCATTGATCGCGATGTTTGAATATTAATATAATGGACAAGAGGTTTTATAGTCTTTGAAAGAGGGTCTTGCTCTCTGAATGTGTAGGGTTTGGTTGTTTAAAGCAGCAAGACCCTCCTTTGGGGTGGAAGTCAATATACTTGTTGCCTTACATATGGGCTTTGACATTTCTCTTCTGTGCAGGCTCACGGGATCCAGTGTTCCTGACCTCATCGTGAGCATGAGCAACCAGATGTGGCTACATCTGCAGTCGGACGATAGCATTGGCTCTCCTGGGTTTAAAGCTGTTTACCAAGGTATGACAAGGACTTGCTTAACAGGTTTTAAAGCTAGCATTCCACGAGGCCAGAGACCATTCTGTATGGGTTAGGTATGAGTGAAATCAACAAGTCAGGTCAATGCTGATAAATAGGAATCATGTTAGTAACTTCCTTACAGTCTACAGTTTTCCCTTTGTGAATGAGAATGTTTAGCTTCTGAAAGCTTGACTTACCATGTTATGTGCTCTGATTATGTTGAAATAGGGAATGAGATGAAGTATGAGGTGTGAACTAGGAGACGTGGGCATGTGTGTGGGTCTTTCGACCGTATCATATTCTGTTATTTCTCAAAACCTTTTTTTATGTTACGGAAGATTTTAAAGTGTGAGCAAACATAGAAAAGACACTATAGTGAACCTGAGAAGACTTGCAATCAGGGAATTTTATGAGCCAAATTCAAATATTTGAAGTGAATGCTCTGTGCCTGTTGTTTTTGTGCTAGTTTACCACTCTACACATTACAGAAAACTAATAGCAATGCAAACAATTTCTGAACCATTGAAATGCAAATGAATTTCCTGTGAGAGATGGAATTGATTATTGTCCTGCAGATATTGATTACTTTTAAACCTATTAGGAAGTTTATTTCAGTATTTCTGATTGGCTATATATTTGTGGTCTTTGGATTCTCCTTTGAAATAGATTTTAAAATATCCTGTTGGTTCCTTCATTAGTAACTGAGTTTCTTAAAATAATTGAAATGATAGATGTGTATGTGTATAGGTAAAAATGAGACTATCTGGAGCTGTTAGAATTGTATTTTACTTTTTGAACTTGAGTAAATAGTATGTTCTTATTTTCCAAGTGGGATACTGTAGGAATAGTTTTAGGAGTTGAAAAATAACGCAAGAAGTTATTACCCATGAAATCAATGAGGGAGATGATCAAAAATCATTCACCAATTCTAAAACAAAAAGCATGGTAGAGGATATTGTCATGAGTCCACGTGAGTGAACACGTAACAGCAGGTCTGCTGTCTCTTACCATGTTAATAAAGGGTCACGATGCTAAAGAAGCCTGTGGTGAGTGGGCCCACCTGGGAGTATCCTCATCTACAAAGTATAAAATAGGTCCCTCGTTGCTGACACATGTGGTGTGGTGGGGCCTTAATGATCCTTTTTAATAAGAAATACAACAAAAATTCATATTCCATTCAAAAATTAAAACTAGAATGCAGAGGTAACTGCTGAATACTTCCTGACATGTGAATTTTCAGACCTGACCTTTAATCGAACTTTTATGTGACTGTATAGTCATTCAGGAAAGCACAGTGGAGACAGAATATTTTCCACCTGGCCTGCATTTGCTACTGCCTTTGGTAGACTCTAAAATCATCAGTGAAATACCAGACACTTCCCAACAAGACAAATTGCAGTACATTGATTTCAGCAGGTTTGTGATACACATCATCAGGTTTATGGTACCAGGAAAAGGAGAGGGGCCTCATGCCCAAACTGTGCGTCCTGGACGATGAAGAGACATAAATAGTCCCGTTAAAAGGTAAATATTCTTCTGTGTATCGTATTTCACTGTGAATGACCGCACCACATTAATTATAATTACATTTACCCTAATCAGTGCTCTGTTAATAGTCTCAGTAGCCACCCATGAGATGTCATAAAAATGTGAATGGCCGTCAGTCCTTGAGAGATTGCCAATTCAGTGTCATGTATTTGACAAAACAGTCCAAAGGTAAAAATGTAATTAAAGCCAGGTAACTAATGTAATAACATTTGAGGATTTAAAAAATTAAGAGATTATAACAACAGAAGACATTCTTTTTTTTTTTTTTTTTTTTTTGAGATGGAGTTTCGCTCTTGTTACCCAGGCTGGAGTGCAATGGCGCGATCTCAGCTCACCGCAACCTCTGCCTCCTGGGTTCAGGCAATTCTCCTGCCTCAGCCTCCCGAGTAGCTGGGATTACAGGCACGCGCCACCGTGCCCAGCTAATTTTTTGTATTTTTAGTAGAGACAGGGTTTCACCATGTTGACCGGGATGGTCTCAATCTCTCGACCTCGTGATCCACCCGCCTCGGCCTCCCAAAGTGCTGGGATTACAGGCGTGAGCCACCGCGCCCGGCCAACAGAAGACATTCTAACAGTGGGTATTTCCAGAGTACTATGTTAAGCTAACAACTGAAGACCAAGTGCGAGTCACTTATGAAGGTGACCTTTATGCGTATACATAATTTTATATTATTTGACTCAAAGCATAGTTGTTCATAAATTATCAGAAAACAGGCCAGGCGTGGTGGCTCATGTCTCTAATCACGGCACTTTGGGAGGCCAAGGCGAGTGGATCACTTGAGGTCAGGAGTTCCAGACCAGCCTGGCCAACATGGTGAACCCCCATCTCTACTTAAAATACAAAAAAAAAAAAAAGAAAAAAATATAGCTCTTTGTGGTGGGTGAGTACCTTTAGTCCTAGCTACTCAGGAGGCTGAGGCGGAAGAATTGCTTAAACCCGCGAGTTGCAGGTTGCGGTGAGCCAAGATCAAGCCACTGCACTCCAGCCTGGGCAACAGACTGAGACTCCATCTCAAAACAAAAAAAAGAAAAATATTACATTAACAGAAAATGTATACAGTGTATATTTACATAACATTAAATGTTCTGTATTTTGATGTTGCCTGATTTTCACATCTCGTGTTAGAGACACAGGCTCTGAAGCTGCTCCCCTGAATACTGGTTATACTGCTCAGTAACTGAACCTTAGTGTAAGTTATTTAAACCTTTTGTGTATCAGGCTTATCATTAAAAAAGTTATAGTAATCACAGCGGCTTCATAATTTTATTGGAAAATCAACTGAGATAAAACATGGAAGGCTCATGACACATACAGTAAGAACTCGAGAAATTCTAGCTCTTGTTTCCATATGCGTTTTTCATTTTAATTTTGAGATTTTTCTACAAACATGACGTTTTCATCATATAAATAATAGTGTGCACAGTAAGACATGTAAACCCAACTGAGGGGTGTTTAGATGAATTTTAAGGACTCCTCCTCTCCAGCTTCTTACTGAGCCAGTTAACATCCTGGGAGGAGCAGCTCTCCACGTTTTCTCATGTGTCTCCCTGGAAATATTCAATGAGTGTCCACTCATCCCTGGAGTCACAGTTCCTCAGACTACAAACCCTAGGCAAACTGCTGGGCAAGAAATGTCACATCATCTTATTTTAACATCATCTTGAGTATCTGAGACTCCATCCTAACAAAGTAGCTATCAGTTTAACCTTACTCATTATCGAAGGCCACCCATGTCACCCCTTACTGACCTACCTGCCCCAACCTTGCCAAGATATTAAGAATAACCTGAGGTTTGTAACTAGTGTAAAATATTTTGGGGGCCTCAAATCTTTGAATCACATTTGTTACCCTAAGATGTTCATGATCTCTGCTACACTGGGCACTGTTGTCTCTTAGAAAAACTCCCTGGAGGATGCTCTCCTGGCACCCCCACCAACCCCGCAGGCACATAGTAATGATGAGGAAGCTGCCTCAGGATGCGAGGATGGGAAGGACCTGGGTGTACTCCACCCACTGTGGCCTCCATCATCCTGGGCTTGTAGTCTTGGGCATATCTGAGATTTCTCTGTTTGCCGTCTCTAACTCCTCAAAGACAATCCTCTCTCCTCCATCTCCTCAAGATACCTGGGGGGTTTACTCAATTAATGTACCCTTTTAGAGGAGTTTGTCATGAAGCAGGTAGGGTGGAGAAGTGAAAACCAGCACCTGGGCGTCTCTTGAAAATTACAGTGAGTGGAGAGCAGGCAGGGAAGAACTCAGAGACTGAAAACCAGCAGTGGTCCACGCTGGTGAGGCCCCGGCCGCAAACACAGAACACAGTGCACAGACACAAATGCTCTTGCTAGACTTCAGTTGGCAAGTGTATGTGATACAGTGTGTCTTGTACATATTCTGTAATATATGAGCACATGCATGCATAGGAGCATATGCACGTATCTTTATTATACACATGCAGAACGGGAGAGAGAGTGCATTTGATAATTTGTCCTAAGCAAATTATGGGGGGAAAAAATGCAAAGTTTAAAAAACAAAGAGAGTTCTTGAAGGAGATTCTGTTAGTTGTTAGTGACAGGAGAGAGGTGAGCTTTGTTTAAAGCCATTTTACAAATGAAAATACTGAATTTAAAATAATCTGTTCAAAAGTCCAAATGCTAAGAAGCCAGATGTAAATAATTTATGGTAGAGCCATATAAGGCAACACTGACCATACATAAACAAACTCTATATGGCTAATATGTATTTTCAAAATAAACTTTACATATATAATTTACATATACATTTGCTGTATATGTAGAGTCTACCTATGTATGATTTATATACTTATAAATCATTGATAGATTTATAAATCATATTTATAATAAATAGGTAGAATCCAGGTAACTATTAAGTCACAGAATAATTTGTAAGAAAAGATAACGTAAGCCCAGGGCATAGTTTCTCCACTTTATATTTGAAAATAAAATATATATCTTATATCATAGCAACTGATTGTTAGTCACCAGAAAATAAGGAAAAAAACACTATTCTCAATTCAAAGTTGGGTTCCCTGGTAACCACGGTGGCTTCTAGCCACGAGGAATGTTAGCAAGAAGCAAACTTGATCCCTGGATGTCTTTACCAGCAGTTAAACGCTTGCTATTGCAATGCCCCCACGCTTTTACAGCTTCTGTCTATAGTAAGGTGAATTTACTCTGAACCATTTTTCTGTTACGAAAAGAAGATTCAGTTCAACTTCATCACACAAGTTGATGAACTGCATCTCCACAAATCATGTTTCATGTAATTTGCCATAGCTATTTAAATTTTAGCAGGGGGTAAATTAAAGGAAATGTTCCCTGTGATATGCTGCTGTGTAGTGAAAACAAGACCTATTTTGGGCTAATACTAAGAATTATTCCAGTACAATTATTTGAGTCCAGCATCACCATTTGACCCAAGAAACTGAGGT